GCACACACTCAGCCATATGCACATACACACATACAGACATGTACACACACATACACACACACACATACGTGCACATACCCCCCCATTGACTGCAGCCCTCTGGAAGACCTGGCCTTTGCCCTGGGAGCCGCACCGACCCCCTGATTCGGATGGAAGGATGGACAGATGGACAGATGGACACTGCACCTACTCCTCTGCCTTTAACCACCGCTTCCTGACGGTGTCACGCCGACACTGTGATTCTGGGATTTTAACATTTCAGCCACTTACCACCTTCCCTTCTTATTTGTTTCCTGGCTCTGCCTTAAATGCCTCCCCGGGGAGGGGAGAGGGCTGGGGGCCTGTCTCTGCTCCTTCCCCACTCCTGTTGCAGTCCCCGCCCCCCACCCCCCACCAACGCTGGCTCCCATGGCATCTTCTCCAGATGCTCCAAGGTGAGGACGCTTGCGCAGAAACACCAGTCCTTGCTAACATCCTCTTGGAAATGTCTGGAGCTGCAGCTGCTCCCGGGGGCTTGTCCGGAGCCTGAGCGAGTGTCTGGAAGGGCCGCGGGCCCAGGTTTGCGTTCCTGACGTCCTCTTAGGGTTTCCGCAGGTCTCCGCAAACCTCTAGCAGGGCACTGAATTCTCAGGTTTGAACGTTTGATTAACGTCTATAATACAACTATGTTTTCCTTCCTCTTCTCTGCATGCCCCTTTGGCCTTAGTTCCTTGTGGCAGATCCAGATAATAGAGAGCGGTGGGCCGGAGTGATGCCACGGACAGATTATAAGAGCCTCATCCTGCAGCCCCGGATTCCCTGGGTGAGGCTGGGGGATTAGAGAGTCTCACACATATAAGCTACTGACTGTACATCCTGGCTGCGTCCGCGGGGCCTAGACCAGTGTTGGCATCTGGTAGTCACTCAACAAACATCTGTTGAATAAATGAATGCATACAATACATTAAGTGCTGTAACAGGAAACAGAAGTGTGCCCTGGGGATATGGAAGCTTCTTTTTGTTTCTGAGAATTAAGAAAGCCTTAACAGGGGAGATGGCATTTGAATTGCATCTTGAAGCATGAATAAGAAATCAGAGGATGAAACAAAATCCTTCAGTAACAGATGGAGTGGAAGGGTGATACTGGAGTCAGAGAGACTAGTTTAAAGGGAGCTGAGCTAGTTCCGGTGAGAGACAGTGAGTGATTTAACCTAAAAGTAATCATCACTGACCTTTTTTGAGCACTTACTGAGTGAAGTGTTTTCAAGCCGGCTACGCTGTGTACTTTGAACAATGTTCTCATTTGATCTTTACGACATTATTTTTACAGACAAGGACACTGCGATTTGGAAAGAGTAGGCCACCTCCCGTGGTCACACAGATAACAAGCTAGGGCTGGAACCCAGGTCAGTCTGACCCAAAGTCCACGGTGTTAAGTGCCAGGTTCTGCAAAACCTGACTCGAAGGGAAGCTGACCCTATAGCTTGGCCCACGGCAGTCCCTCCCTCAGCGTTTGTTGATGGGTGAACAGTGATCTGGGGGTGGGAGACTGGGAGGCTGGGCTCTGCTCTTTTCCTTAAACCACGCCCCCAGGAAGGAGGTAATGGAGGTCTGGGGAGACTCTCGCGGGGCATTCGTTAATTCACGGTCAGTCACAGAAAATAATCATTTGTCACAAAGAACTGGGGCTGGAAAGGCCCTCAGATAACCTCCTCGCTGGGTCTCAAAGTTGTTTCTCTTTCACCAGGGAAACCCCCTTCTCCAGTACAACCCACAGTTCACCCAGTGTGACGGACAGAGATAAGTGGGGCTGGCCTGTCTAGGCAGATGGGGTGTGGGTGTCCGGAAGGTTCGAAGCCCACCATTCGGCCTCCTACCATCCCCACCAGAGATGTTGGTGAGCCTCGATGGAGTCTTAGGGCGACTCAGAACATCATCTGATACCCTCAACTGAAGTCAAGCGCTGAGGAGAAATAGCCGGGTGACAGGTGGGCAGCCCATGGCCGGGCCAGGTGACGCCCCGAGTCAGCTACAGCTCTTGGGCCTCATGGATCATAATCATTTTAGAGAAATTAAATAAGGACATAGGAGAAGGCCCTCTTGAGCAGTTTCCAGGGGTTTGAGGGACACGCGTGAGAAAGGCTGTGACACAATTCCAGTGTGTTTTCCTGCATTCTTTCTGGCCCCAGCCCTCTGGGTTAGGCACGGAGCAGGGGCTGCTCAGGACCGAGATGCAGTAACTGTCTCCTGATGGGTGTTAAGGGACCCTGGGGAGGACTCTTTCTGGGCAAGAGAAGCATCTTGTTCACCTTTACATTTCCTCCAGCCTAGAACACTGATAAGAGTTAAAGCTTGTGTTTGTTGACTGAATAATAAAACTTTGTTGTCCTTTAAAACATTGCTCACCATGAGGTTCCCAACTGTTTTGTTCAGATGGCTTCTCCAATTTTAGGTTTCTTTCCTAAACCTTTTTTTTTTTAATGAGACCACTCTTTGTTCACATAGATAACAAACTGGACCAGAGTAGAGGGACGGGGAACAGAAAGGGGAGGAGGCCGGGGTACACCCCCTCCCGCTTTGAGCATCTCTGCTCTGGGAACAGCGAGGCAGCGAGCCCAATATGCTAGCTGCAGGAGCAGACTGAAGGTCGGGGAGCTGATACGCCTTTAGTGAGGATGTTAATCCTGAACGTCTCCCACTGATCTTCTTTCCTCTAAGGGACAGTGCCGGCCATGAGTGCTCTGGCCATGAGCTTTACTAGTCTGGGCTGCCTCGGCACCCGTCCAGCCCAAGGTGGGGGCTGGCAGCCTGGACAGAGGGAAGGGAGGCCAGGTCCCAGTGTCCTGAGAACATTGAAGGTGCGTGTGGGGCACCACAGGAGGCAGAGGCCCCCGGCTGCTTCATTGGCCACTTAGGAGAAAGCAGCCCTGAGTGGCCCAGAGGCTGGTGTGATGTGAGTGTACCTTTAGGCAAATTTGCCTCTTGTCCCGGGGAGCAATGGACATTCCTTTCCTGTGGAAGCAGCCCGTCCATCCCTCCAGGCCACCTCTATGATCTCTGCGCTAAGCAGCCTCCGGGACATCTCAGAGCCGGTCTCCTTGTCTGGAAAGTGGAGGTTTTAACACTCACCTCTGCAAAATGTTGTAGGGGTTACAGGCCTTTTGTGGTTGTGAAAGTCTGTGAAAGCTGTAACGGGCCATAGAAATGAAAAATTATTTCCTGGAGCGGTGGAGGCACAGAAGAATGCTTCCTCCCGTCATCTTGTGGTGGGGAAAACCTGGGGGCCCTGGGCCATGGCCGATCCCGGGGTGCCCCACTCCTGCGGCCCTGCAGCTGGCCTCACCATCAGGAGAGCGGTCGAGGTGGCCAGTGCGGGGCCCTGAGTCCAATGCGGGAGCAGGCAGGTGAGGGCCGGGAGGGGTAAGACCACGGCAGGGCCTCCACTCGCTCCAGGTTTATCTTTCAGCTGCGTTTAACAGGCGGATGGCCGGGCCTCTCCTGCCATATTGCGTGACTCACCAAGCGGGAAAGGGACACTGCCCTGTCTTCATCCATCCGCAGCCTTTGACTCCTTCCTGAGCTGCGGGGTCATGGCTCCACGTGGTCGGTGGAAACAGCTTGGTTGAACTGAGTCCATTTCTGTCCTTTCGGCAGAGGATCTGTGGTTTGTCATTTACAATCGTTCCCCTCAGGAT